TACTTCATCCATATTAAATAAATTAATTGAAGCTTGTACGATTATTTTAAATTTCTACTGTTCTATCCGTACGGTTTGCGGCGGTTGAGGCGCGGGTACACGATTCATTTATCCGATGGCTGCGGTGTGAGGCTCGTGGTTTTATTCTGTGTGTACTCTGTTACCGGTGTTTTCGCGTAAGTATTCAGATATTTGCGTATAGTTTTATATTATTGAAGTAGCTCTAGTGTAAGATATATCAAATGTGCTTTTCTTTGTACATAATAAACTTTCATTTCTAAAAAAAATGTCACTAAAGTTAAATTTACCATTCTGTTACTGCACAACTATGTTACTAGCTACTGGTAACAGAGTTGTAGAGAGGTAAAAGAGTTGTTATTACTAAGCTGTTACAAGCCATCGTTGGCGTCTGTATATCCATATCTCTGCTTCTATGTTAGTAGGAATCAATATTATATAATAGCTATCTAATAAATTACATCATTTGTTCTAGATAATACATAGTACTTTGCTATGGCTCTCACTGCTGCTGAAAAGCAGCGGCGCTATAAAGAAAAGTGCAAATAAAACCCTGAAGAGGTAGCGGAAACTAAGAAGAAGGATTTAGAGAGATATCATAAAAAGAAACGCTTAATAAAAGACATGACTCAACTCAGTATAGAAACTACAGATCTTGTATAGATGGATTGACAGAAGAAAAAATAGCGCTACACGTAGATTTCAGTGAAAATTACAATTGCAAGTTCCATGAAGTGATATAATCACACCACTTTCGTGATACTCGTAACCAGGTATCCTTACATACTGGCGTATTGTATAAGCGAAGCTTGGAAAATCGAAACATAGAGGTGAAGTCTTTTTGTACAGTATCAGGTAACCTCTCACACGGCCCTTCGGCAATCTGGAGTCACCTTCATCCTATACTTTCCTCAATTCAAGACCAATCCCCTAAGATAAAAGTGATACACATATTTTCAGATGACCCGCTACTCAGTACCGCCAGAATCAAAACTTCTGCTTAATATGGACAAAACTTTTTTCAAAGTACAACCTCACCAAGCCTACATGGAATTTTTTCGAGTCGGGACACGGCAAAGGAGCAGCTGTTGGTGTTGGTGGCTTTCTAAAACGGACTGCTGACCAGCTTGTTGCTGTTGGGAAAGACATTCTGATAGCGTCTTCGTTCTATCAGTCTCTGAAAGATAGTAGTAGAGTTAAGGTCAATCTTGAACTGATTATGATATTGAAAGAATCACAAATGAAATTCCAGCAGAAATTGTTCCTTTCAATGGTATAATGAAAGTACATCAAGTGTACTACTAGTGTATTACAGAAGAAGTGGGAGCGCTGAAATATCGAGAGTTGAGCTGTTTCTGCTAGCTTGGTTTCTCCTCATGAATGAATCCAAAAAACTATTGTCTACTAAAGGATACAGTCGAAGAATCAAAGGAGTAATTCTACTAATCTAGCGGATATAAGTAATTTGATTGAACAGAAAAGGAAATCTTTTTACAATGTAATTTACAGTTCGAGTTCGGAATCAGATGATGATAATCCTTTGCTACGATTAAAAGATAAGGCATCAGATCAACCCTGCTTGTCTAAAGAAAAAAATGATGAGAATCACTTGATTCATAAAGAAAATATTCATCCAAGTAAAATCAAAGAAGGAGGCTAGGTCTTAGTTAAAGTTTACAATTCTGAAAGTAAGTGTTTATCTAGGCAAAGCATTAAGCGAAGTAGACGATGATGGTGAAGTAAAAATTGTCTTTTTAAATTCTGTTGACAATACTAGAAAAACATACAAATTAGTTTAAAATGATATATCATATGAACAATATGAGAGTTTCATAAGAGTTGTTTCAGTACCTAAAAAGTAAATAAAGGCAAAAGGGTATATTACCAGTTCCATACTCCACTAGAGATATTTGAAAAATAAGTTATCAGCTTAGGTTTAATTTGATCTCAATAAGATTTTTTAGCTTTTTCCCCTTAAGTTTTATAATCTAATTAAGTTTCTAAACTTCTTAAAACAGTTCATAGCCAAAAATATTGTTTTTTGTGATAGTAGTTCATAAATTTGTTGCGAATAGTACAACTATGTTATTGTTCCTACAACTTTGTTACTTTTGTGTCCCTAAATATATAAGAGTAATGTCTCGAATTTTATGAAAAGCTGACACCTGACTCTATGCATTGTTTATTAATTATATAATATAATAATAATAAAATGAAATATAATCATCATTATATTTTAATAATTTAATTCAATTTACATAGTTTATAGTGAAAATTTGATCATTAAAACAAAGGAAGTAACAGAGTATATTTAACTTCCATTACTGTTCCTACTTAAGAAGAACTATTGTGTAATTTTGCATGTTGAACATGAGAGTAAAGACTTAATTAATGTTCATAACAAAGAATGTTTCTAAAAATAATTGTTTGTTGTTTAAATGTGAATAAATATATGATGGTAACAGAGTTGTAATTTTTTTTACCCTGCACTAGTAAATTCCTTGAAAATCTAAAAATAGTGGCAAGACATCATGCCCAACCACGATATTGCATTTAACAATGATATCTACATAGCATAAATACCTATACAACTAAGTTAAACAGAATTTTATTTTCTTTTGTTTTCGAAATTTACAGTCACATTTTCTGCCACCGATTTTAAATTGACCCAAGGCCTATAAATAATTGTGCCGGGGGTTGTTTGTCCTCATCCAATTTATGTTTGTAAACTGCCTCCACAAAGAGGAGAAAATCCTAGTTTGGATAAGGTTTTTTTTTAAAATAAAAGATAACTTTTTTTTTAAAGTTTATATCTTTTGTTTTTTTATGGTTGAGAAGTAATGGAAAAATAGGTTACGTCGCATACCCTTATAAATCACCACTCAATCTGCTACCACCGTTTGTTAACTAGATAATATTTTCACTGTAGTATGACAAAAGCCACACAAAAGTAAAAAATGTAGATAGTAACAAAAGAAAGATTAACTAACCTTATCACATTCCTCATTTACATACATCACTGCAGATTTGACTAGCCTCTTTCCAAAATTATCAATGAATGATGATTTCTTAAAATGTTTAGTGCACAACATTAAATGCCTAGAATGAAGATTGTTTTGAAATTCTGGTGACCACCAAGATTCATGAGGAAACAGTACTTCGCCCATAATTCCCATCTGAAAAAATACAATTAGATAGTAATATACTACTGAGGTGCTAAAAACGTGCTTGAAAGGAGAGTGCAATACAAGAAGATTGTTCCTTTCAAACAATGTGATTGTATTGTATACATATATAAATATTATTCCACAAGTTATTTCTATGTATACCAATACATCTAGAACTTTTTATTATGTTATGATTTCTATGTGATAAACCTCATGCTGTTCTGCATAATTTCTCTAATTTTCAGATTTATTTGCACACGTTTTTAAATCGCTTAATATGTATCTTAGGTTTTATTAGCTGATGCGGCCCATAATAATTTTTATTTCTGCTACTTTATTAATTCAGTGGTTCAAATTTAAACATTTTAAAACTGTTTTAATCAGTAATCAAAAAGCTATTTAACATACGTACCGTACGCTATTTGTTCTCCCAGGCTTAGGAAAACGATGCAAGGTGATGTTACGATCATGAGCAGGAGAACATCCACACTTGTAACATTTCCTTTCGTTTACTTTCATGATGAAAGATAAAATTGAGTCTCTGTCTCTTTAGCACAATGCACAGCACTTGTTTTTGAGTCTCTTTCTCACTGTAAACACTAAAACGGAGGAACGGGATGTTCAACTCAACGTTAGTAATGTAAGAAATAAGTTTATATCGAAAGATAAACTTAATTTGCAACACAAATAAACAAGAACGAAACGGCAAGCGGCAAGCGCAACGGATCTGCCATTTGTAATTTTGTTTATTTGCCGTTGCCATAACTTGCCTTTTTATTATAGTATGCAGTTTCATATTTATACATTTTGTTACTTCAATAAAGACGTAATAAATATATGTTTAACGAAATATATTATATAATAAAGTATTATAATTATTAAATAAAAAAATGATTAAAATGATGTGTCATTTAAAATAATATTTCTTTCATGGCAATATAACATAACGTGCGAGGGAGATAGATATTATTCCATCTCGCTTCTTTAAAGCCCCCCAAGGTCATCTCCCGGTGCCAATCTGCTATTAGGAAGTTGACCGGCCCTGGTGGGAAATGCCAGAAAGACCTTATGCATTACGATAAATGGCGGTGTATTCTCTATCTCTCTCTCTTTATCTCGCTTACGTGTGAAAGTTGCAAAAATGTAACGATTAAGGCAAATTCTTCTTACAATGGAAGGGGCCCACGGGCTGATGAAGAAGATAAAGAAGTCTTGTTTGGTTTCAGTATGGGGACAAACGATCTTAAAGTCCCCCTAATGGTAAGTAGATAATGGTCAGTGGAGTCTATAGATGATGTACATCATCCTGGCTGATTTATGACTACGGTAATGTATGAAACGATGTGAAGACCTTGTAGTGTCACGAGTGTATTCGAAAAAATAAAGGCACGCCTACATCCTAACTTTCAAATACCCGTTGTTACGCTTATTCCATAAGAAGAAAACTAGAACGCAGCGTCAAAGATACGAGGACAACCGTATCACATCCATACCAAAAATTCGATAGTAAAAGTGCCCAAAAAACTTTGTGTGGTGTCTAATAGATATTAAGAAGTTCTGCTTCCGTCAAATATTAACTTTGTTTCTCAGGATCACATAAGGCATCAATATGAAGCTCCTAGTATTGGAAAGGCCCATATAAAGTAGTGGGCTGTTTTCCGAGCTAATGAGATGAATTGCATTGTCCTTTAAATATTTCAGTTACTCGCTTAAATTAGTTTCCCCCCGCAATTTTCTTCTAACTTCCGTTATTCAGAGAAAGGAGAATATTCTTTTTCTTATATAATCTCAATAAAGTAATAATGATAGACTTACGCGTGCAAGTGTAACCGTCGCCAGTATAACCGTCTCGGCACTGGCACGTGTACGAACCGGGCGTGTTCGTGCACACCGCGTCCGCGTGACAGCCGTGTGCGTCGCCCGCGCATTCGTCCACCTAGCGGAAACAAAGTGAAACTTTTAAATTAAAAAAAATCATACGCAAAAATATTTAACTTTATTAAAAAGTAAACGCCGAGTTCAAAAAACTAAAAAGAATAAAATAATTTCACATTCTCGAGTCGGTGCTAGATATCGCGCGGATGTACGCAAAGTAATTTTTTGTCAACTTTAATATAATGGACTTCCGCAAAGTAACGCCTGATTCTATTAATGATTCTAAATATTCTTTTTATTCAAAAGCTTAAACCTCTTATTTTTCTTCACTGCTAAGCCTGTCGTAAATTAGTACTTGCAGTTAACAATTTGTGGCGCTGATCCTAATATCCACGCATTGCTCACGTACCATTGACGTACTACTAAATGGACGGCGGGTCTAGAATAAAATTCACGAGAAATGTGTCCCAAATCAACCAATATAAGCGTAGGTTATATTGGTTGATTTGGGAGGTTATTTTGGGTTGTTTCGTATATTGTCATTAGAAAACTGTTCAATTTTACTTGCAACAATTTATCAGCCTATTAACTTTATAGAAGCCGCACTATTTTCACGCTTAAAGCTTCTAGCGAAAATTATCGGTACGGTTATTAGTTTTTACAATTAATATGAATATATTATAATAATATGAATATATATAATAATAAAAAACAAAAAATAGAATTTAAATTAAATATTATATATCTAAGCAAACTATTACTTTTAAGTTATTAAATATTAAGACTTTACTGAAAATATGATACATCATCCTCTTTTTCGACTTTACTAAAGTAGATTTGGACGTTTTCACAATACAGTACGACATTTTAGACGTGTATTAAAGTCCGTCGACAAAACCAAGACTGGCGCGCGATTGGAACTCTTTTTGCATTTTGGAACTCTTTTAAGCGCGGACTCGAGGTCCATTTAGTAGTAAGTCAATGTCCCGTACTTACGAACTAACCTTAAGCTTACGGTCATTTATAATAATATTTATTTTCACATGTGTAAATGTACTGTTTTATTAATACTCCTTTTATTCCACTTTATGTTTCTTTCAGAAGGGAATTGGATAAAAGATTCTCTCATGCCAGTCGTTAACTGATACTTACCTCCACGCAATTAAATTTGTCCCGCCTCGTGTAGCCGGGTAAACATTGACACACATAGCTGCCAACCACGTTGACGCACCGCGTGTTTGAGTGACAGTGGTGACCGAGCCTGCCGCCCGCCTCCTGACACTCGTCCACATCTGAAAAATATTGATAAGAACTATTGTTGTATTTGTATGCGTATATTTAGATATACAGGATTATTTTTCAAAGAGTATCCAAATTTTATATTTAAGTTCAAATTTATAAATAATGATATACCGTTATTGCAGTTTTTGAAAATACTAGTAAATATTTACGAGGCTTCTACTTTTATTTGAAATTATCCCAAATTAAATGTGATTTAATGGCAACAACTACGCGTACGCACGCTCCTCTGTGTGCGATTTAATTCACAACGTTTTTGACGACCGAGCGACCCTTACGAATGTGTGCGTGCGTAGTAAAATAGTAGGCGTTGGATATTTATGAATGACAATTACTTAAAATAATGCATTACCACGCATTCTGAATTTAAAATATAAAAAGAACAGAATGTTTGAGATTAATTTTTCTTTAACATTCGCCTATATTACTTATTCTGAACCTTCTCTGTAAATTTGTGCATACTTTGCAAAATAACCATGTATGGTCATTCTTATTCTTGTTCATCAGCCCGTAAAAGTTTACTGCTGCTTATGGATTTCTCCTGTTTTAAGAAGGGAGGCGTAAACGAGAAGTTTATATCTATCGTGGGTGTGTAATATATATATATATATTGCACACCCACTGAACGAAATGTTGGTGGTAGATACCCTTTTGCCGTCACTTCACTTCATTATCGATTAGGTTTTTGTATTTATAAACCAAAATACTTATTAAAACACAGTATATTTTGATTAAATTAATTTTACGGATTTAATTGGGTTTAATTTTAACTTATTTTTAATTTTTCAGCGTTATGTGAACAGCACTGTGGTCACGGAGTAAAATAAGGTTCTATAAGATTAGTTATGTTTATTAAGAGTATGGATAGTATTCGCGCAAATTTAAGAAGTCATTATTTTGTTAAATATAATCTATATTGCACGTATACGCTTCAACGGCACTTGATAAAATGAACCACGAGCTTCTTTAAATTTCCTTGTATACCGGATATTGCAGGGAAATGTTTGCCTTTAACCCTTAATTTGATTTCGTTAAGTATACTCAACACTCGAATCAAAAAAATATAGTACTATGTTTTTGTCGCGGTTTAATTTTTTTTTGTTTTTATATAATTTGTAATTTAGTATTTTTGGTAGAAAAAAATATTTGAACCAGGTAGCAACACTAAATTTGACAGTACCAAGCAAAAATGGCGACCAGGCGAAACACGCTGCGGACTGTGCAGGTAATTTTACATTTTTTTTGTGTTAAGTGTCTAAAAATAATAATTATGACAATTGTTTATATTTCTATAATATATATCTAATGTTTAATTATCATTTTCAATTCTATACGCTATGAGATATAAACACAATAGGTATGTAAACATGAATGTTGAGTATCATTAACAAAGTTCGGTGGTGTGTAATTGAGTGTGATAAACGTATGTTGAGTATACTCTACAAATTTGCATGGTGGGATATGTGATGGCAGTTTTGTTTGTTAAGGCTGCTTAACAATAATAAGGAATTTGGTGTTCTTATTTTATTTATAATATGCATAGCTTTTCTCTTTTTACGCAATACTTTAATTTCCACCATATAATATTCCTTTCCGAGCAATATTATCATGTATATTGTGTGCGATAAAATGCTTGCTTTGTTTTTTGCCTGCAAAATAAAATTCTTGTTTCAGAATATGAGGTCAAAACGTATTTTGGCCCTTGTACCCCAAGAAAACGCTCAATCTGATATAAGTGGGACATCGAACTCTGAGAATGAGCTTGAAGACGAAGTGTACAACTTTCAAAGTCGAGCTTCTGAGTCATCTGAAGCACCATCAATTGACTCTGCTTTAGAACGGCTCGATATAGATTTTTCCGATGACAATTATCCGAATACGGCTCCGACTGATCACACAGGATATGATGAGACTGACAATTATGATGATGACCACCAAGCAAATAACTTTTCACTGACATCCATAAGTTCTTTACCAACACTTTCTCCAATGTCAAACATACCTTCTATGACGCCATCATTTATAATCAACCAAGTAAGTGACTCTCCCCAACAATCTCCATGTAATTCTACTTCAACACCTCTTCCAAATCGTTATACTCGAAAACGACGCCGTCAGCAAAACTCGGTCTCGAAAAGGCCTTGTATTGTTACTAAAAATAAGAAAGTCAACCTCAAATTTCAATGGTCAAGCGGACGTTTTCGATTTCGTGCCGAATTAGAACCCGATAAGTTTGAAAATCCTATACCTGATGGAAAAACAACATTAGATTATTTCAACGACTTTTTTTCAGAAGATATGTTCGACGAAATATGTCACTACACAAATATGTATTCCATTCAGAAAACAGGCCGATCAATAAATTTGTCAGGTGCCGAATTGCGCAAATTTATAGCAATTAAAGTCATTACGGGTATCGTGTCCATGCCTTCATATTTGGATTATTGGGCTACTGACACCCGTATCCCACTGGTTGCGGATGTAATGCCTCTAAAGCGTTATCAAATTATACGGAGATACCTACATTTTGTAGATAATATAGATACTGACTCCGATCCATATTTTAAAATAAGACCAGTAGTGGAAAAAATCCGTGCAAACTGCCTGAAAGTAGAAGAAGAGACTAGATTCAGTATAGATGAAATGGTGATTCCATATAAAGGCACCAAAGCTGGGAAAAAAAGACAGTATAACCCGCGCAAGCCACGAAAATGGGGCTTTAAAAATTTGGTGCGAGCAGGTGCATCAGGGATTATTTACGATTTTTTTCGCCTCGCCTGAGAGATGCCGGAAAATATCTGAAACCAGACAAGGTTCTCAAAACTCAGGGCAGAGGGGCTTTTAGTCAAACTGTTTGTAATAAAACCAAACTCTCTGTGGTCAAATGGAACGACAATAAATGTGTTGTACTGGCTTCAAGTTACGCAGACGCATATCCACTAACTAAGGTACGAAGATACTGCAAAATTAGGAAGCAGAGGATTGAGGTACAGTATCCTAATGTTGTTATGCATTATAACGCCCATATGGGCGGCGTCGACCTGTCAGATATGCTGATAGCTTTATATCGCACCGAAATGAAGACCAGGCGCTGGTATCTATCGATTTTTTCGCAATTACTTGATATATGTATTAATAATGCTTGGTTGACTTACCGAAGGGATAATAAAAGAAAGGGAGAGATTAAATATATTCTTTTGAAACAGTTTAGGCTAAGTATTTACAAGGCATTGCTGAAAAAGGGGACAACTATAGACGCAGCTAATGTACAAGATCTTAATAAAATAAATAAAATCAAAAACCCTACGCGTTCCAGACCAGTAGATGATGTTAGATTCGATAATATCGACCATTTCCCAGAACATGGAAAGGATTATGGTCGTTGTGCTTATTGCAAAAAAGGATTTACCACCGTTTTCTGCATGAAATGTAACGTCAGACTTTGCTTTGTTAAAGATCGCAATTGTCATTATAATTACCACCATAGGAAGCCTTAATACTCTTGTCAATTTGTCAAAATTTTTCGAATAAACATTATTTTTTGATTGAATTATGTTTGATTTTGCAGTACCCTTATTGAGATTTGTTAAGAATACTCAACGCTTGTAACACTACTTTTTTTCTTGTACATCGAATTTTGTTGAATATACTTAACGTCTGTTTTCCAGGAAATCCTACAATAAATAATTTTATTTAGATTTTTTCCATACATTTCTAATGTCCAACAGCAAAATATATTCATCTTAGCTTATTGCCATAACTTAGCTTGGCTTGCTAAATTAAGGGTTAATGAAAAAATAACGGCTGTTGGACCTGTAATAAGATATTAATTTATTTTTAATCATTGGTATATCTACCTACCTTCACATGTAAGCCCATCTCCGCGAAATCCCTGGTTACATTTGCAAGTGTATTTTGTATTGAGATTCATGCATGTTGCGTTTTCGTCACACGAGTGTCCCATGCTGCAGTAGTCCACACCTGGAAATAACAGTGTTATATTATGAGGCTTTGTATACTTATTAACTCGAAATCCAATTATTCGATAATATATGACCCACAAGTACACACCTTAGGCGAAGTAGCTACTTTTGCACACAAACACTTGCATTAGTGTCGAAGAAAATTCTCATCTTTTATTTGTCTATTTCTCCCAGGATTTTTTTATTCTAAGAAGAGTTGCTATTGGTATACAATTTTTCTCCCAGGGTTAACTAGTAGAGAATACCATAAGTAAATCTTAGTTAAGGTGCCTTTCAATAAAGATTAAATAAATAAAAATTAAGACGTAGACTTACATAAAAAATAAGTTGAAACAAATTAATATTCTTAAGGAATATGCTTTTTGACGATTCAACGTTTTTATTTTTTACAACAGCTTTTAGCCGTAGTGTAGTTCCATCAGACATACTTAGAGGAAAATAAGTGATTCAGCATCACTTATATTATCTAAGGACATTTTTAAAATGACGTTCCCATTTTTATGCTATAGTATCTCTCTCTTACTGTAATATTTGATACATAAACTTCTTTTATTTTCTCTGTCCCAAAAAATGTACTATTTGTTTTGATAACAATATTTTAGGTATTATATTTACTGATATTTTTTTTATTGGCTCGGTGGCATTTATAGATTCATTGGAAATTGCTTCTTATGCGATTATTTAGTGCTTTTATAGAGTTGTACATGAGTGAGAGGGTTACTTACCGGGGCAGAACTTGCAGCACTCGCCGGGTACAGTGAATTGGTCGGCGGGATCGCAGGGCAGCGGCGGGCAAGCCGTCTCGGGGTCAGTACGTGTGCACTGCATATTACCGTCATGGCACACGCACTCTGCGCACTCTTTCGGTGCGTATCGGTCGCCGTGCTCGTACAGCTCGCCTTGCAGCAAGCACCGCCCTGGAATAAATGTAGCATAATAATAAGAAAACACAGATATTTTCAGATACTTCTTGCTTTGAAGAAGGGTGGCGGCGTTAGTGAAACTATTATTCCAATTCGATTCGGGGGTATCTTTGGGGAAATGACAAAAATATCTCACAATTATTAAAGTGAAAACTTCTTTTGGCACGTTGGGCACTTTTGGAATGGGAAATAAAGCACTGAACTCGCGCGACCGTCACACTCAGACACATATATACAGATGTGTGTATATATGTGTCTGATATATATATATATCTAAAATAGCGTATGAAAATGTTATTACTATATTAATACGCTGAAAAAATAATTTCTAATAAAAAATACTTTCTAAAAATATTTCTTAACAACCCATCCGCGAATAAGAGTCTAGAATGTAAATGGGTTATTAATCCTCTAGACTAAAATATAATGTCTCGTTGCTTAAAAAGAGGTCTGCCGATCTCCGTCACTTGTGCAAAATACAGGAAAGGATATTTCATTATCTAGACCATATATAAAGTTTATCAACGTAGTGCATCAGGAGGCCAGGAGATTTCTTTGTAATTCTCATTAACGCCATTTGCGACACCGAGGCAGGAGATGACCTTGACAGTTTGGTTAATAGATTATACTAGGACAGTTGTTATGATAACTACACAATTGCCGCGAAATACTGTCTACAATGTTTTTGGAAACTATAGAACAGTAAAAAGATATACTCACTTAAACACGTAGGACAACATTCTCCTGGATGTAGCACTGGATTCTTACATTCTACTCTATCACACTCTACTGGCCTGCACGTTATTTCGCCGTGCTGAAAAATAAATAAAATACATTACATATTATTTCCTTTTATAAAACTAGAAGTAAACGAACTTGACTTGTCCATCCGACCAACATCATATATAGAAAACTACAAAGACTAAACTACTTCGGAGAACTAAGATGGAATGCCTCACAGACTGTCACTTTACTGGCTCTTTTCTACCGACTTCAAAAAAGAGCCGGTACTCAATTCGACTGTATGTTTTTTTATGTGTGTTACTTCATAACGTCTTACTGGGTGAACCGATTTCGATTATTCTTTTTTTATTTGAAAGTTGGTGATACACATGTGATATTCTCAACCAACCCTTAGTAGTTTGAGCAATCGTCGGAGGAGCAAAAAAATAAACAGGTTAAGTAAGTAATAAATAAGATAAAATAAAATGTTAATAAATACAATAACTTAAAAAATAGATACATAATGCAATATAATATGGTGCACATTAATATTTATAGGGATAATAATAATATTTTATAAACATAACCAGTAAAATAAAAACATGTGTTTCGGTGATGAGCAGTCTAAGAAAATATAAGAAGGGATGTTGTACAGCCTGTGTATTTAACATAATACAATACGTGGTATAGCCACGTATTGTATTAGCCATAGTTATACGTGATAAAGCCACACTGCAGCTATGTTATGGTTGTAGCAAAAATGGGTCGGCTCGACCGGGGAAGGACCACGCTCTCACAGTATACCAGCGTAAAATAGCAGCGTAACGCCGCTGTGTTTCGTATGGTGAGTGTAGAGGAACGGAGACCCTTTTTACTGGAAACGAGACATTCCATCTTAGTCCTCACAGGTGACAATGCATCTGCATTTTGATTCGTAATCGAAGATAGATGTAGATGTCTATGGGCCACAGCGACCACTTACGATCAGGTGAACTGTGTGCTCGTTTGTCACCCTTATCCTATAAAAAAACCATAAGATTCTAGAAATAAAGCATAAGGGAGATTAATAAAAAAATGGCACTAATCAAATGAATATATATGTATATATCAAAACTCACCACGCAGGAGCAGCGATTACAGTCTCTTTGCCACGTTGCACCATCTGCATGAACAGTACCGTTTGAGTAACATGACTTCTGACAGTCACATTGCTCTAGCCGCGCCAATCTTGCTTCAGCACCAACCAACTGCAAGAGATTTCCCCCAAGGTTATAGCAAATTAAAAGGCAAAAGTTTAGTAAAACATAGTGAGTCTATATAACTAACCTTAAGTGAAAGGTCATGGATGTGTGACGTTAGTTCTTGCACTGTAGCCTGCAGTAACGCAAATTGTCCACATGTGGGACATTCTGAGTCCAGTCCAGGACATTGGACTAAATAACCGTGAGGCCCGCTCACGAGTCTTACTTCTTGTAGCGTACCCTAGAAAATTAAACAAACACGGTTATGGACATTCTAAGAATACTTATTAACGTACAAAAATATGTACGTGTTTTTTCGGTACGTACCTTAAAAAGGGAATGTTTGCTATTTCTTTGTCCCACCCATAGCGCAAGTTGCGGCTCGGTGAAATTACGGTCCGGTGGCGGTATGAGGCGCCGGTAGAGAGGATGGCAGTCGACTAGTAGCGTAGCCTGTGCACCAGACACGGCGAGAGCGAGCCGATGCCACGCGCCGTCCGCCAACCGGAACGGGAACGTCTCGACGCGCGGCGCCGTCGCCCCCGCCGCAACGTAGTGCAGTCGAACTTCATCTCGCCGACCGCTCGACTGCACTTCCAAGTACCTGCATATCGCACACCGATGCACTACACACAACGAGCGCGACCTGCCGCCTCGTCGCGAACTGTTCCGAGGTACACATAAACAAAGCAAACAACACATATACTCGGACTGCGGACGGGACGGGACCGGCCACGAGCGCACCTCGGCTCGCTCTACATCTCAATATCGCTCGGTCAGGTTAGGGGACCATGTACCTCGGAACTAATCGCGTTCGGTGTCGACTAAGTCGTTACTTGGTGTCTGATCGGTTGCTATAAAGAAACAGAACGCGCCTCGTTATGTGTCTGCTGTGTATTTTTTCGCGGGTGTTACGTCACCGAGCGACGGACGGCTCGCGATCGTGACTCCTCGCACTCTTCGACCGACGAGTGACGAACGTGAGTCGTTTCGAAATTAATCAGACACAATACGAGGTGCACAATACGGAAACTCATGTCGCTTGGAATGCAAGTGAGGACGAGCCCGGCGGTGTCTCCTCGGAGCGAGCGCGGGCCCGCAGCCGACTGCGATACGACACACATTAACATCAAGGTGAACATTGAGAGACGGATCGTGAGGGGTCGGTTGGACAGATACAGAACATAGCACGTCAAGACACAGAACACAAGACGGAACACGATGGGATGGCACGGGAGAGCGCATGCAAGTCTGCCCGCCCGCACACGTGGACATGCAGTGGTCACAGTGAGCGCAATAAGGTTAACAGATGGATCGAGGAGGACATTCCGAGGCACAGGACATTCCAAGATACATGATTCTCCCCTATGCGCGCGCACGCATGCGGCCGGCGGGCTGGCGGCGTGCGTGCGCGCGCAGCGATCTTGAGATTTAGAACTCACCGGAGCCGCCGTCATGCTGCCAAGGATCGCTACGCCGTGTCGCGCCCACGCCATTTGCGCTCGATGCTCATGTTGGTGCTCTACTCCAAACCGAACAGTATATTATTCGTCTATAATATTATCATGATGGATTTTATACTATTCTTAGAACGGTATTAAGAAGATATCGATATAAGATCGTGTATAAAAATTGCCATATCTGTAATAATGTATATTTTTTTTATCTATATATAATTTTAACTAAAGATTAATATTATTTATGCTTATTAAAGATGTAACCTAAGGAAACTACATAAAAAAATTGGATATGCATGCATTTCGTTCGAACATCGAGGAGATAAAAATTATGAATAAAATAATGAGCACAATGTAATGAAATCGGACTCTCATACCTGTTGTACCCGTGTGAGAAAGAGAGTATTGTGCCGGAGTTGGCTGGCTCTTGACGCAGCGCAGCAAGAATTGTGAACTCCGGTGAACGACGAAGAAGCTCAGCGGCGCGCTCGAACGCCGCGCCTTCCACCTGCAGCGACCGCGAATCACCTGAAACATTTTTGTTTTATTTAGCTGTGAACCATTGTTTACAATAGTTAGTAAAGTAAAATTACATCCCACTGCTGAGCACAGACCCATTCTCATTTCTTAGAAGGTTATAGAGTAGAAAGATCACGGTGTTGGACAAGTGCGTGTGGACTTCATATTGTTGACATTTTGTACAATTTCCAATAACATCCGGTTGGTAAATACTCTGTTTTGTCATTGACTATGGATTTGACTTTCACGAAAGTCAAATCCAAACCCTATTTTATTATTGCTATAAATGCTGTAAAGCTAGACAGTGACACGTCCCCTATATATAATATACCCTGTGGTGAAACGGTCATTCTTAGATCAACAGTCGTAACGCATAGACATGGAATATATGTAAATGATACTAAAATAGTGTGTGATAATAAATACATGTACTATAAAGACTCTAACGCCACATAAAATATACAATCGTTTAGAAACAAGCATTTAATTTTGTGTACCGCCATTCCTGTGCAACAGTTTGTCAATATAAACAATATGTTGAAAAATTATTTTTCAGACATGCTAATTTCACAGCCACGGGTCAGAGCGCTTGGTAAATTGGTACTTAAAATTCGAATGAAATTTTTATTGGTGCTGATAGAGATTACGGCGAGCGCTTAGGCCCTGAACTACATCGGCTGCGATAGAATATATCGTTAAATATTTTAGTATTATTGATTTAAAAAACTTGAGACTTACGGGAGTTAAGGTTAACTACCTACATCATTATGGAATACAATTTCTACTTACATCGTCAATTCATTAAGGAAACACACGCTTTAATGAAATAAAGTAAATTCGTATTCTTTTTATTTAAATCTGGAAGGTAGTACTAGACCTATTTCTGTTCCAATACTGTAAAATTTAAATATTAACAATGAAATATTCAGCATTTTTTGTTGTCGTATAAGCCGCTGTTATATGCATGTAAATAGAAAATATGTAAATTAAAAAGCCAAAGTATACAAGATCGAATCCGCGTGGATACGAGTAGCATCGATCTTGTATTTTGGTACTTTGGCTTAGTGACAAATTTTTTTAGTGAAGTAAATTACAGAATATAACATTTCTGTAGATTATTATTATAACTATAACTTTATAATTACTATAACTATTATTACTATAATATAACTTGTGTATTAATTTTGTATAATTAAGATTCAATTATATTTTTGTGTTGTAGAAACCGCTTTTTTGTTATCCATCCATCCATGCCGTACATTAAATCATGTAAATATCCACCGTTGAACATAGGCCTCTCCTATAGATCACCTTATGGGGGGGGGGGGGGGATCTTTCTATAGTTGCCACACTTGAAAGTTGGCCAACTGCATTTGTATTTCATAACTGTCGGTCAGGGTAGTCATAGATGGCTGTTCTTCTGACCTAATGCATATTAATGCTGGAGTTCCTGAGGGGTCTATTCTCTCTGCGACTCTTTTCCTGCTGCACATCAATGACTTACTTCTACCTGGTATTGTTGAAAATGAAGATGATAGAATAGTCACAGAGATTCATGTCCAGTACAAAAGACTGAGGAGCAGTAATACGATCACTCATAAAGGCCATGGTGGAGCGGATAAATGCGACTTTAAGTCTCGTCGCTCAATGGAATGATTACAATCTGGTCACTTTCAATGCCGCTAAAATGCAGGCCTGTATGTTCTCCGCAAAACCGGGTCCGTTTACTCTGACTCGGCATAAATGTTGGCGCCAAAGTTGAATGCAAATCTCAATTTTGGCGCCAACATTGAGTCGAAAGCACAAACTGCGGCCAAGAAACTGGGTATTTTAAACAAGGTGGAGCGATACTTTACGCCTGGATAGCTTCTAACTTTATACAAAGCTCAAGTCAAAGAACATGGATGGAGTATTTGGGATGACTCAGCAAATTATCAACTTGCCGCACCCGACTCAGAGCAACTCAGAGCCAACAGTCTTATCGGCGAGAAAAAGCTGGTGGAAACTAAGCTTCACAGCTTAGCTCAACGCCGCCAAGTTGCTTGTTTGTCGATCTTCTACAGATTGTACTTCGAAGAGTGTGCCCATGAGATTCATAAGCTCATACAACCATCTCTATTCTCCTATCGGAATGCAAGACGTACTGCATGTTACCATCTTCATTTGGTTGATATTCCGAATATTCGCACTAAGCGCTATAAGTCATCTTTCATAATACGCACAGCTAAGGAGTGGAATACCCTGCCGGCATCTGTTTTTCCGAGTGCATATAATCTTAACCTCTTCAAGGTGCGTGTTAACAGGATTCTCCTGGGTAAATTCGCTGCATCGTAGACCTCATCTTTTCCCTCGGGCCAGATGGAGGTCAAGAGTGAGCCTAGTTAAAAAATATTTTTTTTGGAGTTGTTATCAAAAAATGCTGCTGCCCATTTTCTGGTTTGTTTCCCTTTGTTGCCTCTTACGACACCCACCGGACGATATAGAGATCCATGTAAATGGAAAATATATTAAATAAACAGTTTTTACGCGGCTTAGATCGCAGATACTTTAGTTTAGCGACAAAAAATTAAGGGATAAAGACATAACTGTTCTATAGATTTATTATAGGTATGTATAGATTTAGAATTTATTTAGTACGATATTATTACTTTTGTGCGGTAGTTACACTTTAGCATGAAACGAATGTTTGTTTTACTGAAAATTTATTAGAAGCAAATGAGTTATTTCAACGGAATTAACATTCTTGGAACGCTGCCTGCTTCACTATCGCCACGGCCTAGAGCACGATACGCTACCCTGGCTCAGCTAACTTGATTTTTATCGAAATTTATTGCATTGCAGGCATAGAAAGGTCGCAAGTGCCGCGAACCGGTAGAAATTTTAATTGGATCAACTTCAAGGGAAGTTATCACTCTGTTATAAATTCATTTCATTTTCGTTCGTTCGTTTTAGTGCAAGCATTTTTGAAGCTTATTTTAACTTATTTACATTTTACTTACGCTCACACCGCCACTACACCGTATGGTGGTAGAGCCACGCTACAGCTATATTATGGTTGTAGCACGAATGGGTCGGCTCGACCGGCGAAGGACCACGCTCTCACAGAATATCAGCGTAAAATAGCAGCTTTATGCTGCTGTGTTTCGTATGGTGAGTGTAGAGAACCGGACACCCTTTTTACTGGAAAAGAGGAATTTCATCTTAGTCCTCACGGGTGACAACGCATCTGCATTTTGATTGATGTAGATGTCTATGGGCCACAGCAACCACGAACCATCAGGTGGACTATGTGCTCGTTTGTCACCCTTATCCTATAAAAAAATACGTAATATCTCCTATATCGTTAATCTATCTTTATCTCTCCCTATCTGTAAATATCCCTTAGATGTCTATGCCTTCAGAAATTGTTTGCATAACGTAACAATTTTTTTAAATTGCTACCAAGACAGAGAACACAATCGCCCTGCAGGTTACACAGCGTTCATCAGAGGCAGTCAGCATAAATGACAAACAATTTACTGTACTCTTTTATAATAGTCCTTATTTATGACCGCACATGTACTCGGATATCGCACGCTCTATGCATCTTTTTTCCGTACACTACGACGAACGATCGGTCCTACTTTAAGAAATATTCGCATCATGCTTCTAGGCTATTAGCTAAAATTATCTAACTTTTATTACAATACAGACTACAATAAGCTATACGTTTACGAAGATATCACTATATTCAAATGTACCTTACATATCACTTAACAAAATAACAAATGTCTTTTAAAGATTATCGTCGACGTCAAAGGCTCAGATACCCATAATAAAGTATCCAATATAGTAAGATTTAAATCTATGGGTAGGGCGAGGGATGACGAAATAATATCGCACATGAATGACGTGGTAGCCCCCGTGGTGAGGGTAAATAATGCGGAAGGGAAACCGTGAAGGGACCGAGTTCAAAGCCGTTCCCTGTTATGACTTTTTCTATTTCAAAATTGAAAATGATTTCATAGTATTTTTATATTATACCATATAATAGTGACGACTGAGGATAATTCAACAGTCCACCTGACTTTTTAAAAGAGAGAAAAGTTGAGTTACGGGCACATATTTCACTTGATGGTAAATTGAAGAGTTGTGGCCTAAAGCTATCGTCAATTAAGGATCAAAATAGAAATGTTTTGCCACCCATAAGAAAACGCTCTCACAGAATACCAGCGTAAAATAGCAGCTTAAAGCTGCTGTGTTTCGTATGGTGAGTGTAGAGAACCGGAGATCCTTTTTATTGGAAATTGATATTCTATCTCAGTCCTTGAGGGTGACAACACTTCTGCATTTTGACTCTTAAATGAGGATAAGTGTAGATGTCTACGGACCACAGCATCCACTTACACTTTCACCAACTATAGACACAGAAGATTGTAGATGCACTGGCTTCTTTGAGAACATAAGATACATCTAAACTCATGCAGCACCTATAAAATACAAAATCACCTCTTTTCTTACAAATCAGGACACGTAGGAGACGTGCAAGCGTGACGGCAAAAATAACTAAGAAGTACTAATTTTAACAGAGCCCCGCCCACAGAACACTAATACCGGCCCCGCCACCAAGTGTAAAATTCACTTTTGATTGAATTTTGCTTTGATTTTCTATAATTATTCTGCTTATTAGAACTAGCGTTTTATCATATTTTTGTCCGTGGAGTATTTAGTTCTACTCTATAATTTTTTAGCTCTTCGAGCATTTGAACTAGCATTCTATTATATAATTTTGGCTTTTTGCGCATTTGAACTGTGTACTTCGAGTACTTACTCAGAACTACGAAAACATTTATAGAAATGCTAGTTCTAAATGCATTTCACTTTCTTTCCATTAATTCTATCTTTTACGATTCAAGGAATAAAAAAGATCTGTTTTTTTTGGATAATTTAAAAAAATTAAATTAAAAAAAATATATAATAATACACATTAAAATGTTTAAAGTTTACTCCTGAGAGGGGTTTTAGACAAG